ATATTTGGTGCTCATGCTCTAAATAGTAGAATTAATAACTACCCTTCTTAAATTATTCCAAGCTAAAGAGGAAGGAACACTTACTAATTTTACGAGGCCAGCATTGCCGTAATATCAAAATCAGAAAAAAACCACAAAATTACATGCCCATATCTCTGATGAACATAGATGTAAAAATCCTCAACATATGAGCTAAGTTCAACAATACACTAAAAAGACCAAACATCATAACCAAGTGGGATTCATTCCAGGCATGCAGGGATGATTTAATGCTCACAAATAAATCAATGTGATACACCATATTAATAAATTGAAGGATAAAAATCATATGATTAAAATAGACAAAAAGCATTTGACATAATTCAACATTCATTTATGATTAAAAACTCAGCAAAACGGGTATGGAGGGACTGTACCTCAACATAATAAAGGCCATATATGATAAAATACACAGCAAACATAATACTCAATGGTGAAAAGCTGAAACCTTTTCCTGTTGATCAAGAAGAAGACAAGGATGCCCACTGTTACCACTTCTATTCAATGTATCGGAAGTCCTAACCACACCAAGTAGACAAGAAATTAAAGGTATCTAAATTATAATGGAGTAAAGCTTTCACTACTTGCAGATGATGTGATACTATATATAAAGTCTCCACCAAAAAAACTATTAGAATAAATGAATTCAGTAAAGTTGCAGGATGCAAAATTAATATACAGAAATCTATTACATTTCTATACACTAAATAAGAAAGCAGAAAGAGGGATTAAGAAAACATTCCCGTTTACAATTGAATCAAAAAAGAATACTGTACCTATGAACTTAACCAAGGAAGTAAAAGACCTGTACTCTGAAAACTTTAAGACATTGAAAGAAATTGAAGACAACAAAAGTAAACAGAAAGATATACTATGCTCATGGAGTGGAAGAATACTGTTAAAATGTCCATACTACCCACAGCGAAAATACCAATAGCATTTTTCAAGAAACGTTCGCAAATAATCCTAAAATTTGTATGAACCACAAAAGATCCCAGATAGCCAAATCAACCTTAAGAAAGAACAAAAAAGCTGGAGTGTCGTGATCTCTGATTTCAAACTATACTACAAAGCTATAGTAATCAAAACAGTATGGTATTGGCACAAAGACACATAGATCAATAGAACAGAACAGATAGCCTAGAAATAAACCCACACTACATGGTCAATTATGACAAAGAAGACAATATCATACAGTGGCAAAAAGATAGCCTCTTCAATAAATAGTGTTGTGGATACTGGACAGCTACATGCAAAAGAAGCTGGCGCACATTCTTATACCATATACAAAAATCAACTCAAAATGAATTAAAGAATGTAAGACCTAAAACCATAAAACTACAAGAAAACTTAGGTAGTGTAAGCTCTGTGATGTCAGTCTTAGCAATTTTTGTTTTTGATCGGTCTCCTCTGGCAAGGGCAACGAAAGCAAAATTAACAGGGGCACCTGGGTGCCTCAGTTGGTTAAGCATCTGACTCTTGATCTCAGCCTATGTCTTGATGTCAGAGTCATGAATTCAAGCCCCGTATCAGGCCCTTCATTGGACTCCACACTGGGTGTGAAGCTTACTTTAAAAAAAGCAAAATAAACAAATGGGACTACATCAAGCTAAAAAGCTTTCTCACAGCAAAATAAACCCAACAAAACGAAAAGACAACCTACTGAATGGGAGAAGATATTTGGAAATGATGTATCTTTTTTTTTTAATTAAAACATTTTATTTTTGAGGGAGAGAGAGAGTGTAAGTGGCTAAGGGCAGAAGGAGAGGGAGACACAGAATCTGAAGCAGGCTATAGGCTCTGAGCTGTCAGCACAGAGCCCTACACAGGGCTCCAACTCACAAACCGTGCAATCATGACCTGAGCGGAAGTTGGATGCTCAAGGAACTGAACCACCCAGGCACCCCTGGAAATGATATATCTGATAAAGGGTTGATATCTAAAATATATAAACAACTCCTACAACTCAGTAACAACACAGAAAAACCCATTTAAAAAATAGGCAGATGACCTGTGTAGACATTTTTCCAAAGAAGACCTATACATGGCCAACAGATACATGAAAAAATGTTCAGCATCACTCATCATCAGGGAAATGCAAATCAAAACCACAAATGCAATACCACTTCACACCTGCCTGGATGGCTAGTATCAGAAAGACAAGAATAACAAGTATTGGTGGGGTGTACACTGTTGGTGGGAATGTAAATTGTTGCAGCTACTATAGAAAACAATATGGAGGTTCCTCAAAAAAATTACAAATAGAACTACCGTATCATCCAACAAGTCCACTTCTGGGTATTTATCTGAAGAAAATGAGAATACTAATTCAAAAAGATATATGGCCCCCTATGTTCACTGCAGCTTTACAACAGCAACCTAAGTGTCTATCCATAAGTGAATAGATAAAGATGTAGTATATATATACACAGTGGACTTTTAATCATAGAAAAGAATGAAATTTCACCATTTGTGACAACATGGATGGACCTAGAAGATACTATGCTAAGTGAAATAAGTCAGACAGCAAATGGCAAATGCCATATGATTTCACTTACATGTGGAATCAAGACAAGACAAGACAACAGAAACAGACTCCTAAAAACACAGAACTGGTAGTTGCCAGAGGGCAGGAGGACAGATGAAACAGGTGAAGGGGATTAATAGATACAACTTCCAGTTATAAAATAAGCCATGGGGATGTAGTGTATAGCATAAGGGAATATTGTCAATAATATTAGAATGACTTTCATGAAAGACAGTAACTAGACCTATCATGATCATTTTGTAATGTACAAAAGTTTCAAATCGCTATTGTACACCTGAAACTCATGTCAATTATAATCTACTAAAAAAAATAAGAGTGATAGAAAACAAAACCAAAAGCGTCAGAAATATCCTGGTAAAATGAAGTGAAGGATTAAAGTCAAGTCTCACAAATAAGAACTAATAAGGTCCACTGAACAAGTGTGGGATTTCTTAGCTGCACATTGGAAGCTGTAGGACCACGGAATACTACCTAGATTTATGAAGTGGAAAAAAAATAGCTACAACCTGAGACTGAAATATCATTATGGTAACATTTACCAGTCAGGGTGAAGGAAAGCTATTCACAGAGCTGTACAATTTTATAGACTATTTCCCATGTGTCTCATGTATGGAAAATTTTCAGAAAGGACTACTCAATTACAAAATAAATCAGAACAGCAACTTCAAAATCAGGGAAGATGGAGAAAAAATAGTAATGAGCAATGAATCTTGCAGTGTATGTATAATTAAGTCTGAATGGATGATGATCTAGTGACTAGGAATTGGTAATGTAAATGCTAAATTTTTTTTAAAAAGCCTTTGTAAGTAAGTAAAGTATATAACTATAAAACAAGCAGCTTTAGTGCCCTGAGTCTTATTTTTAACCAGATTCATAGATTTATGTTAATGCCATGCTATCATGGGACATCTGGCAATACAATCCCCAGTCTAGTCCAACTCCCTCTATTTGCCCATTTGGATAATGGCCTGGTTCCCTTCCTTGATGCCATATATTTACTATCAGTGACTTGTAGTGCCTGCAAATAAATAGGATTGTGAGAAAAGCACTTACTGGTTAAGTTTAAACGTTGAAAAAATAGTCAATAGCATTAGGATTAGGGGTAGTCTCCTTACGGGATAGATTAACCAGTGAATTTGAGGCGGAGATTTGATATACAAAAATTGTAATAACTACTATTTGTTTATATGTATGGGACTTAGACATGTTATATATGTTATCTCATATGATGCTTAGATAGCCTGTAAAGTACAGGTTAGTATTATCCTGCTTTTCAGGTGAGGAACCTAACGCTTACAAAGAGTAACTTGTCCAGGTCTCACAGCTAGTAATTGGGTCAGGTTGCCTTTTTGTGTTTTCAGTATTTCCCCCCAGACAAATAGTAAAGATTTGAACTACTAGTCCTGGTGTCTTTCAGGAGTATAGTCTATGTTAGGAAATAACCTAACACAATTTCTTCACTAGCCTGAGCTTTCTACTAGGGGCAATGTGTAATTACAACATTCAGTGAATATCTGTGTACTAAACTTTTGGGGTGGAGAGGGAGTTGAAGGTCTGGTGGAAAGAGACCTCAAACACAACCATGAGAAAACAAAGCATTCATCTGTAAAGTGTTTAACTACTGAAAGCCTATAATAGCCTAACATAGCACATACCATTAATGATGATGGGGTTTCACATCTCACTGACAAACTTCATAATTGGACATAGAAAATGTTATGTGACATTTTTAAGGGAAGATTATTTGGTTTAAGTGGGAAATAGGAAATCTCTCATGCTTTGTTTTTCCTTCTAAAATGTCATAGCTGGGGATGCCTGGGTGGCTCAGTCAGTTAAGTGTTCGACTTCAGCCCAGGTCATGATCTCACGGTTTGTGAGTTTGAGCCCCACATTGGGATCTGTGCTGACAGCTCAGAGCCTGGAGCCTGCTTCGGATTCAGTGTCTTCCTCTCTATCTGCCCCTCTCCTGCTCCTGCTCTGTCTCTCAAAAATAAATAAATGCTAAAAAAAAAAAAAAAAA